AAGGCTTGGCTCTTAGCAACCACTTTCCCTGATTCCATTGATTGTTGCCAGCAGCACTTCGAGTGTGGATGGAACTGATGCTCTTTTGTGAACTCAGGAAGTTGTGTGACCTAAGGAAGAAAATTAAATCTGGCTGAGCCTTTGAGCCTTTGTTTGTGCATAGTAGTCTTGTTGCTTTATATGTAAGTCCACCATGGATGACTGTATGTTTGTGTATGTGTGTGGCTGCTGGGAAGTATATCAGAAGTAAGGAATATGAGATGAGGGTATTTGTAGGATGTTTAGGACATGGGAAAACAATGTATATAAGAATTTATTGGGCATTGAGATGGTATGAGAAGAAGTCATAAACACAGTAAAAACAATAGCAGAGGTCACATTTTGGAGGACAGCTTTTGTGTTAATTGGGTATGTGAAAAAAAACATAAATATGAGAGAAATCAACAAAGAGATGGGTGAGAGGGATACTTAAAATTTTAACTACTTCTGTGGCAGACGAATTAACGAAACAGATTTGACAACCCACCAAACAAAACAGATTCTTGATATATATGTTGTTGCTATAATGCCAGTAATCCAGATTATGTATTAGACAGGGAAATAAGAATATCTAAAGAGAGTAGAAGAAGTACTTTGGCTTCTTCTGTAATTGTAAGATACCAGTATGCTCACATTTTCCTTAAACTTGTCCACTTGTCTATTAAATGCTTTTCATTGTTATAAGGGACTCTTTTGTCTCTTGTTGGTCTGTCTCTTTCCATTGTGCTCTCTCTCTCTCTCTCTCTCTCTCTCTCTCTCTCTCTCTCTCTCTCCTGTGTGTGTGTGTGTGTGTATTTGAGCCTATATACATGTAAATGCACACATGTTGAGGCTGGAGATTAATACAAGTATCTTGCTCTAGTGCTCTTCATTTTAGTTTTTGAGACAAGGTCTCTCACTGAACCTGACTCTCACTGATTTGACTATATTGACAGTGTTTGGCTATATAGTTTAGTCTATGAGTTCCAAGAATGTTTCCCCCCCACTGCCTTCTTGCAGTCCTGGGGTTGTAGATGCAGGCTGGCATATTCACCTTTGTTTATGGGTGCTGGGGAATCTGAAATCATGTCCTCATACTTACATGGCAGTCTCTTAACAGACTGAGCCATCTCTCCAGACCACACTACTTTGCTCTGTTTTCTTTGTATTATTATACAAAATTCAGCTAGAGGTGAAGAAGATTTAGCACATCTGTTCTACAGGTGCAAAGTGATTTTGAGGTAAATGTTTAACTACTGTGGTTGCAAACATTCAAACTGCAGGTTTATAGTTGCCAAATGCTTTTTCTAGACTGCAAGTTTAAAACTTAAACATAAGAAATGTGAAAACATGAGTCAGCCTTCTCATTACCATGTTCAATAATGAAAGGTGAGTTAGGATATGTTTAGGCTAAGAATGATCGTTGGGATGAATATTTATGAATGCTTGATGGATGACACTCTGGAGGCCCCAGCTGACTTTAGTGACACATAACTTAGTTCTGCATGAAAGAAACACAGAACCCTTCCTAGCCATCCCATATACTTCTGCAGGAATGAAAGATAGTTTCTCTCACTTTAACATTTTCCTGACTTCTTGCAATATTCTTCTGTAAGAGAAGATTAGGGGGGACATGATATCTTTGATGGAGGCTCACCTGACAGTGAAGTCACGTCTCTCTTGGGCTCTTCTGGATGTGTTCTGACCCTTAATGTAAAGAAAGTGTTGGAAAGACCCCCCCCATCACTCTTTCTCTGTGTGTATGTGCATGTATTTGGAGTGTGTGAGTGCATGTGTGTATATGCATATATATAGAGAGAGGCCAGATGTCAATTTGTACATGCAAGGAGTGTGTGAGTACACACATTTGTGTAGATGTTAGTGTGTGTGTGTGTGTGTGTGTGTGTGTGCGCGCGTGCGCATGGAGTATGTGAGTACCTGTGCTACGTGTGTGCATATGTAGAGGCCCGAAGTCTATGATGGTGACTTCATTAGTCACCTTTTCCCTTCGTTTGGACAGAGGGTCTCTTGGTGCACCTGAGCTCACATTTCTGGCTAGTGTTTTCCCAGAAAGCTCCTGAGCCTTGCCTGTTTCCTTCCCGAAGCACTGGGTTTACAGATGCCAGGCTTTTGGTGTATCCAAACCTGAGTCTTCATGCTTATGCAATAAGCACTTTCCCCTCTGAGCCATCTCCCCCAGAAAGAACCCTTTGAAGACACTGTTTTCACTTCTTATTTTACAGAAGAAAAGAGAGAAGTCCACAGGGGTAGCTGGGCACAGCCACGAGACAGAACCAGAATTTGCTCTTGAATTCCTTGAGCAGCACTGCTCCTCGATTCCAGTTACTTTTCACCTCCTGCTGGCTTGTGGGTCACAGAGTGGGCAAAGTACAGGAAGCTGTGACATACAAGGCTTTTTATGTTATGTGTGTATATAGTAGCTGTAGACAGTTTTGCCCCAGGATCTCTTTTGTGGTTTGCTTGCTGCCATTGTAAAGGCTCCGGGAAATTTTCTCTGAACAATACTAAAGGAACTGAGAAGCTGTCCACTGATCTTATCTTCTGCAGCAGACATAAAGTGTGGGGCTCACAGACAAACGTCCTCATGCAGAACGCGCTCCCCACCACCTGCTCCGCCCCGCCTTGAATCTAATGCAGCCGCACCTGTTTGCAAGTGTCCTCTGCTCCCACCCCCTCTGCCTTTAACTTACACTTTTCTCTGTATTAGAAAAAAGTGAAAGCAGCATCATTTTTCCTTCTGCATAGTTTCAGACTTCTAAATCGTAAGATCAAACATCGGTACAGAGACGTGAACAAATAATAAACGAAAACTTTGAGTAACAATCACATAAGCTACCTCATCCCACAATTAGCACAAGCCAAGAATGAAACATTGTCAGCACACAGACACTTTTCTCCTTTCTGCGTCCTATGTTCTTTCCTGATTCAAACTCTCTTCTCCCCTTCAGGCAAAAGCATTCGGGTGGATTTGTGGCTTTCATTCAGATATTTCACACTTCTCTCTCTTAGTGACTAAGCAAGGAATCACAACTTACAGACATTCACTTATCAAAAGTTGCTCATAACATCTTTTCTACTCATAGGCTGCATTTTTACTTTGAAAATGTAGGGTAATGATAGTCTGAGATTACTTTAAGCAAAACCGCAGGAGTAAGATTTTTTTTTTTTTTTCCTACACTGGACATGAGGGTCAGTTCACTCAGGCTTCCCTTAACTCCAAGGATCATTCCAGCATTCTTTGGAAATCAACTTATTGAAGAACCATCTCCTAGCTTCCTTGCTTTGCAGACTGTGGGAGATAAAACATGAAAACAAAAGTTTGAATGTGGGAAAACAATAAATGTTCTCAGAGCAAAAGCCTCTCTGCCACTCTGCTCATGTCCCTGGTCCCAGGGTGTTGATTTATGTTCTACATTCTCTTCAGATCAATGATCTAATACAATGCTACTTTTAGGTATTTTGTCTACTATTTCCTGTTGTTTTATTGTTGAATAAGGAGTATTGCCATATTTGGAAGCTGGAACACGTTTGTTTATTTTTTTATAGCCAAGCCTCTAATTTGAAAATGTTTCCTACAAATATGAGAGGTATATGCTAAGAGCTAGAGATACTAAAATAAATGAATAAACAAATAAAATGATTTTAATGAAGTGTGAAAGGAGTTAAGGCATCAAGCATAAACAGAGATATGGCAAATAGATCATCTTGTATGATGCCAATCTTTGTATATAAGTTGTATTCCTTCTTTAAAGAAATAATATGGCAAGACACGTTTGGGCAAATGAGGGTGTTTATAGAAAATCAGAGTGCTGGAAATAATTCTGGTGTTGTCTTAGTGCTTAGTTTTAATAAATCATGAAAGATTAACACAAAGGCTCATTAAAAATGATCATGTAAACATAAAAAACTGAACTGTTATGAGAGGACATTGTATCATGATAGCAGAGCATAAAATCCCACCACTAAAAACAAAAAATATAGAAATACGTTCTGTTTACTGGGGATGCCTACTTTTTCAAAATTATCTTATACTTGTTTGATCTTCTTAAGAAAAAAATTTGCCAACTGAAGTAAAAGCTACCATCCTGGTATTTTTTTCCAAACAATTTCAGCATAAAACTTTTCATTAACAAATGACATGTCATTAAAAACAAACAAACAGAAGAATACCTTGATCCTATAAGCCAGGAGTTGATGTGCAATTGGGCTAAAAACATTTTGGTCTCCTCCTCCTGAGGTCTCCATGAGGTCTCAAAGAGTGAAAAAACGTGAGCAAAAATCTGGGCCTCTCCTGATCATTGGGCCGATTTGGTCCTTATTGAATGGGTTCATAGGAGACACTCTACTATTTGAATACAATTGGTTTGTTACTTCACTTTTTTTGTGATAGGATGTAATGCTGTTTATATATAATCATTTAATTTTAGCCCCAGTAAATTTATATACTTTCAAAAGTGATTTTTTTCCATAACATCTTTTTGCAAGTCTTGTTCAGATAAAGGAAAATCACGCTTTAATTTTAGATTTAAAATTCACTTCTTCAAAGGGGCATTTTCTGACCCTCTAGTGAATATGTAATACACCATCCAACCCTACCACATTTTCCCTGATAGCACTTTGTTCCTAGCACAAATTATAGCACATCACTCATTTCTCCATTTAGCATCTGGCCCCAGTGTGGAACCTGCAAGAGCATGGAGACCCTTTCTGTCTAAGTCATACTATCTAAACATGTTATTTGACAGGTACATCTTATATACTATTACATGAAGAGCCCATTTATAGTGCACAGTTTTGCCTTGTCATATCCTGGGTTTGTTTGCTTGGCTATGACATCTTTCATTTTGGTATCAATAGAGGTGACTTTATAAAAATTAATCACATTCCCACTTAAATATAATTATTAAGGCAACATGTTCACAAAACAGCACACTTACTTTGTTCTCTTTCTTTTGAACCAGGAAAAACCAATGACTCAGACAAGCATAAGATGTTTTCATTTTACAATGGAGGTATACAGATTTCTTGCGAGTACCCTGAGACCACCCAACAGCTAAAAATGCAGTTGTTCAAAGGGGAAGAAGTCCTCTGTGAGTTCACCAAGACCAAGGGAAATGTTGGGTCCAGCAAGAATCCCAAGTCCTGTCCATATCAGTTGTCCAACAACAGTGTCTCTTTTTTCCTAAACAACCTGGACAGCTCCCAGAGCAGCTATTACTTCTGTAGCCTGTTGATTTTTGACCCACCTCCTTTTCAAGAAAATACTCTTCCTGGAGAATATTTGCATATATACGGTAAGACATTGGTTGGGGCTGAAGAGTATATGCACATTTCCAAGGCTTTTCTCACCGATAGAAACAAACAAATAAGTACTTTTTTTGTGTTACATTCTTTAGGTGTAGTTGGCAACAAATCATCTTGGATGAAATATGTGAGGAATGATATGTTGTTAATATTCAGTTCATATTTATCAGGAAGAAGTGATTTAGTGACCTATACCATTGAGTTGGAATTAGGGCTTAATTTTTCAAACACTCAATTCATGGCTCAATGGATAGTACCTCTACTCACTTAAGGTAAAAAGTGCTTTGGAGATTGAGATGTGATGATTTGAAAATCAGTTTTTATACCATGCATTTTCCTACTTAATCTTGTGAAAACTGCAGATGGAAAGTCTTTATCTATTAGTCACATTTGTAAGCACTCTAGCATAGTCTTTCCAGTTTGGATTTCAGAGTCCTTGCTGGAAGGTGGCAGTGATGCTGATTGCCATCTACTGCCCCCATCATTGTCAGTTAGAAAATACTTTCTTGATTAAAAAGCTTTACAGTTTAGGGAAGCATTCTCTATGCAGCGTTGAATGAAGACATGTGTTTCCGGGTCTTTCATCAATGTGTTCTCCCCCCCCCCCCCAGAATCAGAATCACAGCTTTGCTGCCCGCTGAAGCTCTGGTTGCCCATAGGATGCTCAGTTTTTATTGTGGTATACATTTTTGGGTGCATATTTATCTTCTGGTTTGCAAAAAAGGTAAGCAACTTCTACTTTGCCTTACACTTTCTTTCCTGGGTGGTCATTTACTCACCAGTGCCTGATGCTCTACTAGGAGTGACCTGAGAAAAAGGGAGGCAATTCCCTTCCCCCCCTCAATTTACACACTAATTAAACTAGTGACTTAGAACAGAGATTATCTGTTTGTTTTTTAGTAGCTCACCTCATTCCCAAAAGAGCTCAGAGGGCTTACAGAGATACAGTATTATAACTACTTTTTTTCCTAAAAAGATAGAAAATTGGGGCCAGTCACAGATAAAGGTTAGGAAGGAGGTTAAAATATAACAATAGATGTCTTTGGTTGTTGAAAGTTGTTAAATGTTGGAATAGGATTTGAATATAAGTTTCCTAAGAGTCAAGATTAAGTGGAAACAATTAGTTATAAGTTTCTCTTACTTGACAAAGTGAAACAGTGAGATTATCTTATTAGTTACCAATAGTAGCTAAGAAGGAAACTGCTTCTTTATGTGTTCCATCACCATACACACTCCTTGTTTTTTAAGAAAAAGATTAGAAAAGCTGTTCAGAGGCAATATAACAGGGACAACAAAATATCTTTTTGTTGTGAAACATTCTGTTTACACAACAGATTCTCAATTAAAGAACTTACTCCAGTCTGTATATTATGTATATGATAGCATGTAAGTGCCTGCTGCAGTGACCATTAGTTAGACTCTGTGTTTGTGTATGAGAGAGAGAGAGACAGACAGAGAGAGAGAGAGAGAGAGAGAGAGAGAGAGAGAGAGAGAGAGAGAGAGAGAGAGAGAGAACTATTTGAGAGGGAGGTAGAACATGCCCTAACATCCATTATCTAACTCCATTGAGAAAGGAATAATCAAGGCAAAAATGAGGAGGAAAATGACACATAAAACATTAAAAAAATTATTGCAGTGTGTGTGTGTGTGTGTGTGTGTGTGTGTGTGAGGAGAGAGAGAGAGAGAGAGAGAGAGAGGGGGACATCTCTAGGCTATTCTTTCCTTCCACTACTTAGGTGTTGGAGATTGAGCTCAGGTCATCAAGTGCTTTTTCTACTGATCCATCTCATAGTTCAGAAAGCACTTTTAATTGAAAACATTTGCATGTTGTTCTACTGAGCCTAAGTCCAAAATTACACTTTTGTCACCCACCACTTCAACAAAAGACAGAAAACACTTGGAAAACAAGCATGAAGGTAGGAAAGAGCAGATAATAAACCATGTTTCTAACTTTCTCTTCCAGAAGTATGGATCCAGTGTGCATGACCCCAATAGTGAATACATGATCATGGCAGCAGTCAACACAAACAAAAAATCTAGACTTGCAGGTATAGATTCCCCCAGGGGTTTGGGGAGGGAGGAATGCTCTTTATGTTAAGACTTGAATTTATTTATTTTTATTTTAAAAGAAAGGAAACTTTTCCTAAGGATAATTTTAGCATTTTGTGTGTGTGAAAATCTGGGTTACAAACTGGGTTTATCCATTCTGTAGTATATTAAAAATAGTTCATGTAAATTACTATTAAAATAAATTATTAGGGGTCCAGGGTGTAGTTTAGTTTGTAAAGTGCTTATCTAACATATATGAAGTCCTGGACTTAATCCCAGTACCATAAAATGGACTATTGTCTGAGTACTCAGGAGTTGGAGGTAGGAGGATCATAAGAACAAGTTGAGGCCAGCCTGTGATATATGGGAACCTGTCTCAAAATTAACAAAGAGAAAGAGAGAGGGGAGGGATTGTAGAGAAAGGAAAAGAAAAAGAAAAAAGGAAAACCAGGTTGCAGTAACAGCATAGAAATTCAAGCCTAGCCTGACCTACAGAATGAAGTGCTCCAGGCCAGACTGAGCCGCTTGATGCATCCTTGTCTCCGAAGAAGAAAAGAAAAGGAGAAGGAGGAGGAGGAAGAGGAGGACTAGGAAGAACAGGAGGTAGAGATGTATGTGTTCAGCTCATTGGTAGAACACTTGCCTACTATGCATGAGGACTTAGGTCCAAACCCTAGTACAATAGAAAAAGATCCATAGGTCACAGTTGTTTCAAGATAATTTTCAACTAAAATTAAAAAACAAATTGAGATATATATAGATCTTCCTTTTGTAATTTTCATGAAATCAGATGGTGCATATTTATTGGACATCCTTCAACACAACCTTTTGAGTGAGGTACCAGAGGGTGATGGGAATTTGAGAAGAGGCTGAGAAGGGAGGTTTAGGTTGCTGTTGGGGGTGGTGGGTCAGGGTAGAGGAGGAATTAATGATGATACTTAGTTGTTTGGCCGTAAAGAATGTCCAAATTGGGTGGCAATGGAAATTCGGTTGAAGCTGTTGCCTAGTTCATTGAGAGTTAGAGGCGGGTGCTGTCAATTCTGAGGAATATCCAGGGAGCTTGAGGCATTCATTGTGGAAATTTTACACATCTTGTGCCCATGGATGGAATGATATGGGGTAGGAAAAAACAGAAACTATCACAGTTTGGCTACCATTTAGTGGCTCAGGGACACACATAGACTGTCACAGGATCACTGCGTGAAAGAGGGTCTAACCCTTTATGGTTAGTCATTATTCTCTTTGTAGATAGTCAGGGCTGAAGTTCAGACTGCCTGTGGCTCCTTTCCAGATAGTTAATGTCATAGCTTTGGCACTTGCTATCAGCTTTGTTTGATTACTTTGCTTCTTCAAAAACAACAGCATACCTCATCGCAATAATTGTGTTAAGGTCTATCTTAGTTTGAATTCTTGAGTGTAAATCATTCACTGGAGTGGTAATCCCATGGAGAAGTGGCAAAAGGGCAGGGGGAAGAGAGACAGGCAAGAATAAAGGTGATTGTAAGGTTGAGAGTATCGGCACTTGTTTCTGGGGGTCTGACTTAATGGGACCTCTGCTATGTGTACAGAGGCTTCCCACAATTTATAAGAAGGATGGGAAATGAGACACTTAACCAGCAGCCTCATTTCCTACAGTTGGCAGCTGTCTTCAGCGGGCATTACCTCTCCCTCATTCCTGAACTAGGTTCAGAATAATGCTGTTCCCAAGTCTTCAGAGAAAGTCAAAAGCAGGAAGGCAAAGTGAGGTGCAGTGGGACTATGATGCTGGTGTAGCCAGGACAGCAGATATACCTCACAGGCATAGAGATTGTGTGTGTGTGTGTGTGTGTGTGTGTGTGTGTGTGTGTGTGCGCCGTGCATACGTGCATGTGTGCATGTGTGCATGCGTGCATGTGCTTGTGGGGGGCACACCACAGGGAAAAGCAGAAAGCTTGCTAAAGGGAATTCAACTCACATGGAATTTTTTTTGTTACAGGTGTGACACCTTAATCTGGAGTACTCTGGCACCTATGGAGGAACCACACTGACCAGTTCTCCTGAAAGTTGAACTGAGAAATTCTATTTTCTGGATCACGGGGCATCTGATTTGATGTGACTACAGGAATCTCCTTTGAGTATTTTGTTTGTCTGGATCAGTGACTACTAGGCCCTCAGAATTTCAACAGACTGCCTGGGAATTTCTGAGTTCTTCTAAAGCAAACACCTTCTTATAGAGGGTCCAGCTCATGTGTACTCAACAAACAGACATCACTTGGTTAGAATCCCCCACTCTCTGCACCTGCTTCTAGCTACACACTGGCCAGTAAAACAAACACATCTACAACATGTTCACAAAATGCTACGGGTATTAATCTGTAAAGCACACAGGCAGTCAATGGCCAGCATCTGCCCTCATTTTTCAGATTACTTTTTCTTGCTGTAGGGATCAGTATTCTTTCTAGAACCGACAGTAGAGGGAGATGCTTCATAACAGTAGCTCTTGTGTTTCTGAGATGTTGGTGTATATACTACATTGAACTCATATATTAGTACCAACACAACATTCTCTTCCAACTTCTACACTCCAGTGATCACTGCTTGAGGGGTATAGATGCCTTATCTTGCCTTCAATTTTCCCTTTAAAGATACTTCCACATGTCTACTTGGCAGGCTGCAGACTACAATTTTTTACCTTCTCTTGCTCAAAAAAAAAAAAAATGTGGAAGTAATTCTCCCATAGTCTCTCTGCCAAAGTAGTACTTTTCCTCTAACGACATCTTATTTTCTTAAATTCAGTTAAAATGTGTTGATATTAGTGGTAGGAAACGTTGTTCAGAATCAAAAGCAAATTAATTTTGCCATTGTGTTTTCTATCCTTATCTATGTTTTCATGGTGCTATTAATCACAAGTGTAGCTATTTTTGTAGCTCATATTAAAGTTGCAAGCAAGCAAAACAACCCATGGTTAATGGGCAAACATTCTCCTGGGGTAGAATGGATTATCTATTTAGCCTGAAATCTACAGTTTCTGGAGGTGGCTTCCAGACTGCAGCCATGCTTCTGAGTTTGATAGACTGAAATGGTTCCCATGAGCTTGGAGTAGCACTCTAGACAGCGCTGGAATAATCCCAAGGTTGGGAGAAGCCACTGAGCCTTCGGTCTCTAAGATCTGTGAAGAAGTGCAGAGGAGTCAAGATAGAGTTCCCTTTCCTAGAAGCTGTGCATCCTGGAAGTCAGCCCTGGCACTTTCAGATAGTCTTCTTTAGAACACGGGTTAGCTGGGAAGGTTCAGAAGCTCAAGCAGCATGTGATCGCTCTGAGCCAGAGCATTTCCTCCAAGTTCCTGTCTGCATGCCTAAGGCTTCTGGAGCAGCCAATGTGTATGCAACATTTGTTTTTAAACTTTAAGTAAAATAAGGCTGCCTCATAGTCTTACATTGTAGTTGCCTAGTTACAGTTTACTTTAAAAAGTGGGACCTGTTGTATCATTATTTACCTATTACATTAAGCATGTGTAATGCTGGCTGTGTACAGTACAGTACTGAACTTGTAATTTGAATCAAGTATAGTGTTTTCTCTTTTCAGCAGACTTGGGTAGTCTGGCTGGCATTCCCCAAATTGGGTGTAGCTTTCTGGGTAGGAGTAAGGGTGTGGAGGCTAGCCTGCAGGATCACCATCCCAACACTGAACAGTTAACAATGAATTATTGAAGAACAGAATTTCTGTGAAATAGGAACTGGCTTTAAAGGAGCCACTTGTTAAACGATAGCAATGATAAGAGGTAAAGAATAAACATTTGTATCCAGAAATGGAGTATAGCCTCACTGTGTTTTCTGGGGGTGGAGAAGTGACCTTAGTGATGACCACACACACACACATTAACCTTTGCTCTCCAGTGATCTTGTGTGCTGTATTAGATAGTTGCTTTCTTCATTTTGCTCTCTCTATTTTTAAACTTTGAGATATCTAAAAGTTACAAAAGAGCAGACACGCAGAGGAAAAAGTGTGTTCTGTTTCTGTGTTAGTTTCTGCATTGACCTCCTAGCCCCATGGGATGGTGCTTATTTCCTACAGGCAAGAAGGGTGGGCCTGATGACTCTCCACCCATATTGGAAGATTGCCATCTAATTTTTGGTCTGCATTCAAGATCTGCCCATTGTGTCTAGGATGTATGTAGGAGCTGGAGGTTCTCTGGGGACTTTCCTTTGTGTGTAGTTGCTCTGTCTCTGCAGTAGTCTTCGTTCTGAACAGTCTCCAGAAACTTTGGCTCTTTTGCAGGCCATAAAGCCATTATTTTGTAGAATGTTCCTTATTTGGGTCTCTCTGATGATTCTTCATGAATAAAATGAGGTTATTCATCTTTATCAGAAATAACACAGAAGTAGCATTATGTTCTTTCAATTATGCCCCTCAAAAGGCACCTCACAGCTTTGGCTTGCTATGTTATTGCTAACATTCATTCTCATCACTTGACTAAGGTCCTGTCTGTCAAGCTTCTCCATTGTAAAGTGATTCTGCCCTCCACAGTTAATAAACACACTTTGTAAGAAAGTATTTTGAAATCCTCTGTTCCTTATCATAATTTCATTTGTAGTTTCATGGTGTGGCAGTTTCTCATTTTATTCAATGGGTAAAAATAAATGTTACTATTATTACTATTATATTTTTCTTTTGTTGTTTATAAGTAGTCTGTGGCTCTGGCTGGCCCTCAGATTTGCTAAGAATGACCTTTAATTTCTGATCCTAGGGTCTCTACTTTTGAAGGTTGGTATTACATGTGTGAGCCACCACACCTAGTTTTTGTGATAATGGGGTTGAAACCAGAACTTCATGTATGCTAGGCAAGCACTCTGTCAAATGAGTTGTATCTCCAATCCATTATTCTGTTTTTAAAATAAAATTGTCGCATCCTTAGCAGTCAGTGAAAAATGCATTTGAACTGCATTGAAAACCAAAGTGCAGGCATCAGTTATGCTCACTGAGGTTGGGATCTCCATGTTCCTAGGACCAGGCAGTGGTCAGTGTTCAAGATATACATCTGTCCAGATATAAAGTTAAAGGTATGAGTATAAACACAGAGACAGTCATGATGCACATGTCTGTGTGTCCATAAAAAATCTATGTACAAACCTATGCTTGTATCTACTCCAAAATCTGTAAGTTCACATCCTGCCAAGAATCTCATACAGCACTTCATGGATCATTCTAGTTCAATATCCTTCTTTTATTTATATGACAGTAGGAAACCCTACATCTACATTTTTAATACACTAACTATAGATCAATTCCTGGCATGACATCTACCTGGCATTCTCCTTCTTTCTTCTGCCCTATTCTACATGGTATCTACTTGGACATCGACTTTCATGCCCAGCTACTCTCTCTGTCCTGGCTGAGTCCCAGGTCCCACCCTGAGCTTTCTCACTGCATAAATGCCCTTCTAACCTGTGTGGGGATCTCACACACCAGGCTGGGGATTCCCTTTCCTTGCTTCACTCAAGGCCACAGTGGACTGACTACTGGGTGAAAATGAACAGTTGCATGCTCTGGGCTTTATAGTAGGATTGAGTTCCAGTTGCCTCACAACACCTGGCTTGCTAGCTATCAATAGCTATTCCTTCACTTTCTTCTTTCCACAACTGTTTGTATTTTTTTTTCACTTGTCATAGATTTTTCTTACCCTGAAATGCTGTCTCAGTGTTTCTATGGGAACCAAAGGCACCTGCATTTCCTTGCTTATTCTTCCAACACTGCAGGGAACAAGCTCTTCTTTAAGTCTCTCCATGGAACCTCTTAAAATTCTATGTGTTTCTGTGGAACCACTGCCAAATCAAGCCAAAATGTGACCTGCTCCCCTTACCCCATCCCTAGCATAGCCTTGGAAGAAGGAATCTTATGAGAGTCTGAATTACAGCGTCTTAACTGCCAATGAATAAAATTCTCTAGCTTGTCATTTTTTTTTCCAGTTAAGTTCACAGTTCTTACAACAACAGACCACTCTTTTTCCTTTTGTGATACAAATCCTGAACTCCCTCCATTAAAAAAATAAAGACTTTTATTGGGTAGATAAGATTTCCCCTGGTGCCACAGATGACAGGCTATACCCAGACTCTGTTAGTTAACCTTTGCTCTATGAAAACAGGGCCTAGGGAATTTGAAATTTTCTAGAAGAGTGAACGCTTCAGTATCAACATCTCCTCTCCCCCTCTGGGTCCAGGGTCTGCGCTTTAGGTAAGATGAGGAAGATGGCGACTTCATTGCCATTTCTACCAGAAGGCAAGCAATACCACCTTTCACTCCATGCCATGTTTTATTTTTCTCTACTTTGCTTGTTAGTGCTTATGATTTCAGTATCTGAATCTTAACAGCTCACCACCTTGCCATATGTTCTGTCTATGGTGGTGAGACAGACTGGGATCAATCTGCCAATCTTCACTTCCTTGGTCTTTCTAAATCTATCCACTACTGGTCATTTTGGAGACATGTTCTAATCATAACCCAGCATCATCCATTTTCCCCTTGGGGTCAACAGCATGATGTTACCTATGATTATTCTTTAATCTTTCAAGAGGCTAGAAGCTGTTGTCAGGCCAGTTCACTGAGAAATATGGTTCCTGAGAGTAGAGATGGGCACAAACCATGGATGTCTGACCTTCTTGAGAAGGAGTACATCCATTTGTTGAAACAGGACTGAAAACAACTTTCCAATTTCTTATGAAAACAAAACAAAACCCTTTGTAGTGCTAATAATAGCATCTAACACAACAGCATCTAAGTATATTCTCTGATGAGTATACTCAGTCTTGAAATGTGATTTCTCCTAGTATGTCTCTGTATTCTGCTATTTTGGCTTTATAGTAATAACCCAACATGATTGCACTCTATGCCTGAAAAATGTGGCACTCTTTTTTCAATCATTATTGCAAATAATGTGGAGCCCACTGAAAATGCTTTCTTGGTGAAAATATCTCATCTGCAGTCCAAACTCTTATATAAATTCCAGTAAAATCCCTAGAAAAAACCCAAGTAGCTGTAGGTCCACCCCAAAGAAAGATTGTTCATCAGAGGGAAGTTTCATCTGAAAAGTATATATTTTCCCAGTCTCTGAGGCCATGCCAAAGTAGGGATGCATTCATTCTGAAAGCATAGCAAAATTTCACAGGAACAGGAAGAATCTCCTTCTCTCATGATCAAGACCACCCCCCCCCCCCATACACCAAGGCAGCTGCTGAAAGCGAGCCCTTCTTCTTCAGTAAGCAGTCGCATGCCTCTTTCATCTCCTCTCATACTTTTCTGCTTGAAACAGCTGGCATGATTTCTCTCTGTTGTGTTTTCATCATCCTTGTAAGGTTTTCCCACGGCTGCTGCAATGAACGACCACAGAAGGGTAGCTCTGTTGTGGACTGGTGTTTGTGGGGCTGTAATTGGAACCTGCTGATCAGCCCCTAGGTCTGCTCCTGAGTGGGGTGTGTGTGTGTGGATGAGGGAAAGGTTAGCTATAGCCAATCATGGAAAGACAGAGGCATAGGATAGTGTCAAGAGGGCAGAGTCAGTCCATACTAAATACACTCCTTAAAGTTTTAGGGAATGCAAAAGTATGCATCAGCACAAATTGCAACAGTCAATGAGCTGGAAACTGATTATCAATTTTTCCCAAAAAATTTAGCAAAAGTGATGGCCCATGAATCACTG